TGACTGACCCCTACATGGAGCTGACACTCTTGTTGGCCTTATTTGATGGATTGTGCACCGTTTTGACAGAGTTTATGACGAGAGGCGCCCATTGCGAAGTCCTGAAGTCCATGCTACTGAAAGCCCGATTTCAGGTGTTTGACCTGACCTTGACCCGACCTGTGACCTCAAAATTCAACTTTAAAGTACTCATCTGAAGCGTCTCGTCGCGTTCTTTCGTTTGCCGCCTCGTGCGTTTCGCTGCGCCTATTGGTTCTCGAGTTATCGGCTGGGGGCGTTTAACGCCCCCCCTTTCCCAGCAAACGGTGGGTGGCGAAATACCCCAGCAACTGCCGGGTTAAGGGACAAAAACACAAAACAAGACAGATAAAAACAAAGCAAAATTAACTCATTACCTAATGAAATTAAGGCTGGAGCAAAAACATAGGTAATAGGTATATATGTCAAATTAGAATGAAAGATTAAAATCAACCTGACCAGGCCTTACGGTCTGACCTGGTCCTAACCACCTTACTTCGCCTAACTTAACCCAATTCAACCTAGCCTACCACAACACCTGCAGAGGTACCTTCCTGGAAAAATGACGCCCAGGGAGGTGACTGTCCAACTTATTGGAATAGGTACTACCATGATTGCTTGTCAAAATGTGTGTCATCATGCTCTTGTTTGACAAGTGATGTATAATAAATGTGATATTCAATAATTATCTCCTGACTGCTGACTGTTGAGTGATCAAAATATTCAAATAATCAGGGTACAATGCTTTGCATAGTGCACACTAATCATGTTGTTTTTGTGTAGGCCCTCTGAACATTGTTGTGTGCAGTGCTATGTGCACCTTAATTAAGTAAAAAAGTGACTGGTGGTACATGACAAAAGGTTGTGCAACTGTGAAGTTCATGCCCTTGGTCAAGCTGGTGCCAAATGCCTATAGCTATAGCAGGATCAGTGAGGGTTGTAGACATGCTACATACATTGTGCATTGAAGATATTGGCACAAAGTTCATCCGTAATTACTATGCTTAACACCTAATGTAAGAAGCGACATAAATGCCCAGATGATAAAACTCTCTGGTCAACATCACACAAATTTATTGACATACTTTGCAGGTACATATTTACATTCATGGCAAATACTTTTGATTTGATTCAGAAACTAGTTGCTAGTAAGCTTGCATTTTTGTAGGTACCACAACAATCATATATTAAATCATAAAAAAACCTTCTCATGGCATTCATCACATACCTTTTTACCGAACAAGTACCTAGCTACCATACAATGATTCTACAAATTTTCTGCAATCCATCTATCTATATCTCAACTGACACAATGAATTGAAATACCCTAGCAAAACCTATAAATGTACATAAAAAGAATGCAATGCTACAAGAACTATGAATTTCTGAAGTTATTCTCACATGCTGGAACGTTGAAACTCTACTTTTGTCTTCCATTTCCACGTTTGATTGAGCCATCATATCGAACTGTTTTCGTTCTTCATTCACAAGCTTTCGCACAAATCTTGAATTTTTGCACATCATCTTGAACCATGCTCCAGTCTTTCCAACAAGGTATCCAGTCTTTCCAACAAGGTACTATGTAACATCAAAGCAATTTTGATTTGTTACAGCAGCTTCAGATCATGATAGGCTTGAGGTTTGTTACACCATTTGCCAGACAAATCGCTACAAAATGTGTATCAACTCCCAAACTAAGTAATTGATCATATCAGTATTTGCAGTTTCCACACAATGTTTCATAATATTATTCTATGTTTATATAAAGAAACTCAAATAATCCACAAATTGTTATTGAAACACTCCCACTTCAAGAATTCACAGCAATAACAGTACAAGTTCAGAAGCAAACAAACATTGCGCCAGATTTCGTATGAAACGCGCCATCGTCCTGAACTTTCTACCACAGACGGTAGTTCAGCATATTTACGTCTGGACAACGAGTTGCGTTGGAGAGGCCGGAAATAGTGGCGATTTCAGGACCGCAAGAATGGACCGTCATTGGAATGATTCTTTTTTAAACCGTGCACTGTTTTCGGCCGGAATTTAATAGTTACTACAGAATATTTTGTAATTACGTTTACAACAAGAATGAATGCCATCAGGGCTAAATTTTTAATACTTTTGCATTTTGTCAAGAAGCATATAGTGCTGTTATATTGCAGTTTTAGCGCGTTTGTTACAAAATATGAAGCGAATAAGCGTCAGTGTAATTCATCAACAGTGGCAACAGTGCCAGAAGTTAACTTGAGGGAAAGCTATGCTAATTGCTCTTGTCCATCCACTAAAATTTATTAAATATTTTGCTTTGTGTATTCCAAAAGGAGAGGGAACTATTTCATTTGTGCCTTCATGTCAGAATTGAAGGTGGATCATTAAATTTTCAACGCAGTTTACAAACAAGCATTTGGTCTTTCTCGTTTATAAGCAGTGGCTAAGAAAAGGTTGATCAATCCTGAAGTTCTATCATCGTACCTCAACTTGGCAGCAAGATCCCCCAAGGACAGAGGATATATTGTATACATGTCCTGTAAATCAAGACAAACAAGCATTTGGTCTTTCTCGTATACAAGCAGTGGCTAAGAAAAGGTTGATCAATCCTGAAGTTCAGTCATCATACCTCAACTTGGCAGCAAGATCCCCCAAGGACAGAGGATACATTGTAAACCTGTCCTGTTAATCAAAGCATTTTTGTGCCTTCAAAGGCTAAAGTTATCTGTGGTGTGTTCAGAGTTAGGTTATATGGCCGTTTTTGTTGTATGTTTATGTGGAGATTGAATATAACTGTGACCCTGTGCTTGTTTGTATACTTACGGTCAAACAGGGAACAGCACATTCACATAACATACTCTACTCACCTAGCACCTAACTCATAGCTGTACCCTGCAGGATCTGTACTTGTTCATGTCTCGAGCATTAACAAAGCACTAAAGTAGCTTAGTAATCATTTCCCACATTTTCTGAGCATCTAACATGACATACAGCAGTGCAGAGCAGCTTCAGAGAAGAAACACTTTAAATGCACAGACTCACACCAGCCACCCAATGAGCCAGTTCCTCAGTTGACTGTTTCCCTGCCCCTGGACACAGTTTGGCAATGTGAGCTAACTTTTGGCAAGTTGAAGGTTAGCAGGTAAGATTGAGTTAGGGTGAGTACCACTACCTACCTATAACTGGGTGCTACTGCCATGCAGGTCTTGGGTAGGCTGCAAATATGTGTGATGATTGAGGTTAGGTCAGCTGTCAGGTTAGTCAGGTTCAGGTATGCTCATTGCTCAGGTCACATTTTTATGGACATTTGGCAAATTAAAAAAACTAACAATCTGATCTAAGCTAACCCGACTAAACATACACAACTACTGACTATAGGAACTGAGCACCTACCTACTTGTGCCTACAGGCTACATCTCATACCATGTCAAAGTAGAGTTCCTTGGTGGAAGATTACGCTCAGTACTTTTTATCCCAGCCCTGTGAAGAAAACTAATACTTCTAAGCTCTGAGTCACTGCTGGCCATCCACAGGAAGAAACGCTGAGACTGAGAGCTTTGCCATTGTATATTGGACCAATAATGACTATCACGAATGACTATGAACACATAATATGATCACATCGTTGCATGGATTGTCACATTGCCAATTTTACTACAATCCTTTTTTAAAGAAATACAGTGATGATGATTAACATCAAAATCAACATAAAGTGGATTTAGTGATCCAAGCTTTCTCCTCCAGTAGCAATGGAATGATCGCATGTTTCATTTGCCAGACACTGAGTACCTGATGCACATTACAATCTGCATAGCATCTAAGCATAGTAAAACTGCCCAAGTCCATTCATTCTAGATTTTAACTTGAAAGTTAGCACTAATTTATCTTGCTGTTGTAAGTTATCATTCAATATTCATACCAATACATCAATATGCGCTCATCAGTCAACATTTTCTGGCATGATCCTGCTCAGCGTGCTCTTCAGTATTGCTCCAAGGTCTACAATATTATAGCTTGTTTTTGGACAATAAGCTCTTTTAATTTTACTTTTTCTTGCTGATATATGAGCCCGATCAACTTGGGTTTATCAACCAAAATTTCATAACTTGTTCAACTTGATATTGATATTGCTCAGTCTGAGTCAGGACCTCTGTCAGCCTCGATACTTCAGATTGTTTTCAGTCAACATGCTTCTTAAATATGATATAATTCAATCTTAAGGGATTCAAAACATCCAACAAAACGACGTACAAGAGCAAGAAAACCACCAGATAAACTAAAAAATGGCCTTGGAACAGAGCCAAGTTGTGTGCTCCATTTGTTTGTTTACAATGATTGTAGTGCTGATGTATTTTTAGGACTCTGAACGTCGGCTTATAAAAAAAATGAAACGTTTTTACAAAAGTTGTAAGGCAAGTAATATTTATCTGAAAGAACTAAAATATTAAAAAGCCAAACACTATGAAATACTTGAATCGGAACGAAAAAGTAACCCAAAAATCCAGCCCAATCACCGGCTCCTAAAACTGCAACACAATCAGCACTTTTCCCCGCAACTCGTTGTCCAGACGTAAATATGCGGTAGTTCAACCGCAGCCGTAGTGCGAAAACCCCTGCCCACCTTACCCCACGGCGGAGCTCGGTTGCAATTTGTAAATACGCGGGCCGAATGTGGGCTGAATGTGGGCTAACTTCCGTTACATTCGGTATTTTACAACGTCAAAATACTTATTCCAATTTCCACCATGAAACCACCACTATATTACTTGCTTACAGAACCGTGCGCACAGTGCGCGCAGTTTTATCGTGACGTCAGAGGGTGCTTCCTCAGTGGCGCCCCCTGGCGGGGAACGCGTGCAAAAAGTCCAGCTCTTAGGCATGTCCACAAATCGGCGCATTTCTCAGATCCAGTTTGTAACAATGCAGCGCAATGAATACTAATATTGATAACAATTAAGCGTCTCTTTATCGCTAGAGACGATAACACTCACCAACATTATCCACCTGCAGACATATTCTTCACGCCTGAACGCTATCGCCTTCTTATACTTCAAACGCTTTCCAAGAACCAAAATGCGGCATGAAATGGGCGGTTACCAAATCTGACGTGTTGGCGTATGAGTACCAGCACTATTTCCAGTACCACACTAAGTACCGTGTCCATTATAATAGGTCTTTCTCTGAATGCAAAAGGCTCCTATGCATCACATGAGATATCACGCGAATCATAAATTTAACGCATTTTAACATGAGTATTTGGCTAACCATTCGACACGACGCAATTCCACATTCACATTCCACATTACACAAGTACCAACTCTTTAGTGCCCTGCAAGTACCAAAGTACCAATCAGCGTCTCAACCCGTGCTCCGTGCTGCCCCCTACCTCTGGCTGCAACCAGACAGCAGAGCCCTCTACTGGCTCTCCGTTTCCTACAGCTCGCTCAACAAGACGGGCCGATGGGCTCACAATGGGACAGGAAAGGACAGGAGAATATAAACCAAAACCAAATGGAGACCATAAACGCTTCCGGCGTTTACAAAACCAGTGAGAGGGAAGGACAGGGCGACTGTGATTTCATGCCCCCTGGCCCCTTGGCGCTCATTTTTGTCGGCACGTGTTGGTCATGAGGGTGGCTAATAAACCGTGTATAAACCCTTGTCATGTTCCATGTTTCACTGGCTTATATTGTTTCACATTGGACTTACAAGTGTCGGAGGAGCATTTGCACAGCTCGTGTAAGCCACCATTAATTTGTAAATCGAGCGCTCTACTGGTTGTATTGCAATCGATGTGACAATCAACACAAATTATTATTGCATTTGGAATCCGTAGTGTTACACGTTGTGACGTACCTAACTGCCCTATCATGTGACATTGAAATGCTGTCGCCTAATTGTTCCCGACGGATACTTGATTTCAAGCATTCAGTTCATAAATTTTGCAGCCTGGGTGACGCCCGAAAGGCGTGGCATTGCGAAATAATTGTGAACGAATGCAAACTGCGAAACGAATGCAGTGCCATTTGCACGACTGCGTTGTTTTTTAGTTCCGATGTTTGTCTAAAGACAGCTCGTGCGTGCAACAAGGTGCGTTCACGGTCCACACAATCGAGATGGAAAGGTAAGTGCCCCTGGTGCTGCTGTGTCCGCTGTTACGCAATAGCTATTGTATCGCATGTGAACGGCAGTGACCTATCGTCAGGAAGGTGTAATAATGGCTATGAGTATTCGTTTTGCACCAAATATCGCGTGTTCTCTGCACTGTTCGAGAGAAGATGAAGCTAAGTAGACTCGTCTTTGCCTTCGTGTCTGAGCTGCCCCAGCTGATCTTTCCTCGCCTATCATTTAACCTGATTCATTCCTACATTTTCAGATGGAGTTCTGGCTGAGAGCACACACACGCCCCTTCATTACCACAACCCGCCCTCGTACTCTGCCGTGCTGCCCGACACCGGGCGTGGTCTACACTGTCTCTCTATACTCAGCCCGTTCGTGACCGTGAGGTTCCACTCGGCTGACGGGCGGCCCCGTCAGCCAGCCGGCGCTAATAGCCGCGGTACGGGCGGCGGACCGACACGGGCGCTTCCCGCCGCGGCCGGAGCGGAGCCGGCGACTCAGTTCACGAGCAGTCGTCGCCGCTCGCCAGTCAGCTCGGTCAGCGGGCGCCGGGTGGACGGCGGGGGCTCTCAGTGAGCCGCTGAGGCAGCACGGCGCTCTGGGACCGGCTGAGGCACGCTGCGCAGACGGAGGAAGCTGAGACGGTGAGGCCATTCAAGGCACATACGGAGCTGGCAGCCTAGCTGAGAGGAAGAGATCCCAGCTCACCTCAGGCACGATACGCAGCGAGCTTCTTGAGTTTCGAGGCGGAAAATCTGGGCCGAAGGCTGTCTGAGCTGTGACCGCAGTCGTTTGAGCACATCAGAATACGTTGCGGCCTCGTGATCCCCGACTGTTCCGCATCGGCAGTGCTCGCCGTGCATGAGCTACGGCGGTGAGCTATCGGGCAGACGGCGCTACTCGGCGCTCGTGTGGACCGCTCAGGAGCAGCTGCGTCCCTCAGCTCCGCCCGAGCCGGAGCCGCCGGCTCGCTTCCCTGTGGTCTGGGCCGGCCTGTGGAGAGACCGCCCGGGTCAGTTTCCCATCTCCCGTCTCGGACAAGACTCGGAGGGGTACCGGGTGCTGTCACCGTCACCGTCCGGACAACTGAACATGGCAAAGGAGGCAACGAGCCGCGCGGAGATAGGCTTTGTCACCAATGGGTTGCACCAGGAGAGCGGTGGCACTAACGGCACCAGCGCTGGTGCCAGACGGGAGCTGGAGGACGCCGAACCAGTAGTGGTGAGTACCGGACGGGGTAACCCGCAGTTCTTATGCTATTCATTGAAAAGTCACTGGACAAACACTGGATACGTGTTCCAGTGTTTGTGTGTGGATACGTGTGTTCGTTCACGTGTTATGTCCTATTATGTGGCTGATCTTAAATTATTGTCGCCTGTTTTGGTACCCGATATTGATCAAGTGTCCGTCCACACCCGAGCTTGACCGATTACTGTCCTCTTTTTCTTCCCATGCCACCTAATGAAGCCTATTTCCTCTATCTCAAGGTTCACCGGGCTACATAAAATGCCATTTCAACGTTCAGCGAATTAGCGCTCTGGCTATCCGTGGACCGTGACTCGGTATCCCACGCCCTGGGTCAGGTACAAGTGTAGTTTTGAGGTTTTGTATTTCGATGGCCTTGTCCGGCAACTTGACAACGGCAAAGGATTTGGCCATCCTGTCGTTTCCGCCGATTAGTCGGTCCTGACTAAATGCGTTTTTATTCTTCCTTTTCTTGTCTATCGGAAATCAAGAGTTGGCGGAGAAACAGAACGGAAGACATAACTTTGCCCGTATAGAAGGCCGGACACGACCCAGACACGACCCACCTCTGACCTCACTCACCACAATGCTTCGAGCCGAATCATGGAGTTCTTCTTAACTCGGAAGGCTTACAAAATATGTTTAAGCGCTATAGTATAAAGGCTAGCTGAGCTTCAGTCACCTTGCTTGTGAAGTAGTACCTGTTCGTGAGTTTCGAAGAACTGTCGTGGTCGGTATTTGTTGTATAGATCGACTGCTGTCTCCAGGACGGTAACGTCTGTACCGTTTGTGGTGCTCGTACCTAATGACCTTTGCACCTCGTCATCGATCTAATGCCCCTAATGTCAGAGACCTTCAAGTCAGACCCTTCAACCTGCACCGTGTCCCGACGACAAATACACACAGACGGTTATTGCTAGTGGTGTCAATCGGAACTTGAATCTTCGGAATTCCGATTTTGTCCAATGTCCAATTCGGAATTCGGTTGGACAATGACAGCAGGCTTTGGACAACTTTGGACAATCGCTTGCTACACCTCAACATTTTTTATAAAGTAATCGTGTTTAACATTGATTGGCTATTAAAAAGCCAAGCTTTCGATATAATTAACACTTTTGAGCTGGTAACGATACATTAACAGCAAATTAAATAACGGTGTTGAGTGTAAACTATTGCGTAGATGTCGGACATCTTTGGACAAATGGCTGGCTTGGACATTTTTGGACGGACAGTCGACGCCAGCATTGGACAATGGACGGACATTGGACACATGTTTTCTGAAATTGACATCACTAGTTATTGCACATGCATACCTGCGTAATGCGTTGAATGTTCATGTCACGTATGAAAAGGTTCCAAGCTGCAAACGGTCTACCGTCAGCGGGCGGTTATTTTACCTTACTTTTGTGCATTTTTCAGGCATGTAGGTATGCATATCATTACCTGCAAGACGATTCTTGGTCTATGCCCTGCCCTTGTGTATGCAAGCTATGTGTAATACCCATCAACTATGCATACCACATGGATTCGCACATGGCACAGCTCCAAACTGGCATATAAAGCACAGCGTGTCATCTTATAGTACTCGTACTTGCTGACACTTTGCAGCATTTATTTACGCGCATCGCATTCTAAGCCATTATCTGTCAGTGCTGTTGAACTTATATTGCACATTTATGGCACCGTTCATTGACAGACCAAATCAACCAAGGGCTTTTACCATGATGGGACATTTATTTGGCGGACGCAGTGCGGCGGTTCGGGTCACCAGACGAGAAATTCTTACAATCTGTGCTCATTGTTTGGTTTTTACGAGTTCCCATAGGCCGAAATCACTGACGACATACAAATATGCACATCAGTGCGTGCAGTACGTTTCCATGGTGCTGGCGTACCCCGATTCCGTGAGCACCCGGCCATTGCCCGCCGTGCGCTCGGGTCCCACGGCCGGCCCCATAGACCCGCCTCTGTTTGGGGCGCTGCCGCTGTTGTGGGAGCATTCGGCGAACCGTGCCCATGTCAGTCGGCGGGCCCGACCCCCGGCTCGATAGACCGTCCTTGGACTCCATGGCACCGATGGCGCCAGTCACGGCTGGTCGCCAAGAATTAGACGATCTACAGCCGTGTTGTGATGCTTCAAATGAGTTCGATTTATTTACATTTTCTCCAATTTTGAAATGATTGGCAGCGAGTTGTGCTCACCTATGGAGTGGAGAGTTCGTTGGCCCATTGATGAGGTCCGGTCGTTAAACGAGGTAGTGTATCGACCACGCACATTACCATCGCCCCCTCCCCCCCTGCCCACCTGGCGGGCAGGTGTATGACGTCACCATTGATTGATGACGTCACCGGACGCCGGCCACGGAGACCAATGAGCCGTCGCGTGCCTGAGCGGCCGTCGGTGCCGTCGCCGGTCACTCGTCGTTTATTGTCGCTACCAACACTACCACTGTCTGAGACGGCGTGACTCCGCGCGGGTCCCCACCCGGCGTGATATATCCTCTGTGTGCCTCCCGGGGGCCTGCGGTAGATCTGCCCCGCCCGTCGGCGACGGTCGGTGACCATTTGGACGCGGGTGCCTCCCCCGGTGTTTGTGGAGCCCCGCGCGGTCACCACGCCGAGCTCCGGCTCTCCGGACCAGCCGCGGCTGCCGCCGCTGCGTGCCGCCGGCTCCGTGGACGACACGGTTCCGGCTCCGGCTCCGGTCATGGCATCGGCGAGAGTGGGGACCGCCGAGTTCCCCGAGCCGGTGAGTGAGCTCTGAGAGAGGTTTGGCCGCAGAGAGGTCAGGGTGGGGAGCGCAGAGAGGTCAGGGTGGGGAGGGCAGAGAGGTCAGGGTGGGGAGCGCAGAGTTCCCCGAGCCGGTGAGTGGGTGCTGGGGGAGGCTGGGCCGCAGAGAGATCAGGATGGGGACCGCCGGGAGGCCGGGTTGGGGAGCGCAGAGTTCCCCGAGCCGGTGAGTGGATGCTGGGGGAGGCCGGGCACCGAGAGGCCAGGGTTGGGGAAGGCAGAGTAAAGAGTTCCCGAGCCGGTGAGTGAGCTCTGGGGGAGGCTTGGCACCGAGAGGTCAGGGTGGGGACAGCAGAGAGACCAGGGTGGGGACCGCCGGGAGGCCAGGGTGGGGAGCGCAGAGTTCCCCGAGCCGGTGAGTGAGCTCTGGGGCAGGTGGGCACCGAGAGGCCAGGGTGGGGACCGCAGAGAGGCCAGGATAGGGACCGCCGGGGAGGCCGGGTTGGGGAGCGCAGAGTTCCCCGAGCCGGTGAATGCTGGCACTTTGTGAGCAGTGAGGTTAGGGAAGAGACACCCTGTTGCCGTGCGTGTGGTCATACCGTATAACGGCCAAGCGAACTGTGGGTCTGAGATCTGAATGGCCAGGCTGTACAGAGGGGCTGCAACGCACTCATTGTTTCGTGATTTTGGGTATCCGTCGTTTGTCTTCCACTCGCTGTCCGGACTCCGGCACATAACTTTAAGGATGTATTTCTTTGGCTAGAGGATTGTCGCAATTCTTCACCTGGAAAAAGTAACAATGCCTGTGCTCGTATGTGCCACGACTGAAGTTATGCTTAACCAAGCTTTTGGCATCCATATGTATATCCGGACCTGTGAACAGATGGTCCACATTTCAGTGACATAGTTCTCAGAGACTGCCCACGACCGGCAGCTTTCGAGCTCTAATGGCCAGGTGGCCAGTGTTTTGTTCATCATATTACGTGCTGACATCCAGATGTTCAGCGCCACCCGGTGCGGTCCCGGGAGCGACGTCCAAACGCAGTCATTCAGCGAGGAAATGACGTCTTAGAGAACGGCCCATCTAAGAAACAAACGATGCGAAAATTATAATTTGAAGCTTGTTGAGCCAAGTAGTCGACCTGCCGGGACAGTTGTCTGCCTGCGGTCCGGTCTGAGAGCCCGGTCCTTTCCTACTGCTGAGAATCGGTCCTAACCCGGAGAAGAGCTGCAAGCTCGCTGTGTTAGTGAGCCGTGTACTGAGTGGAGCTGAGTCCTAGCATTATGGCTCCTGTTGGTGGATGTTTCTTTATATATGCGTTTTCAGCAAATTTTCTGCAATCAGGACAACAGAGCGATGGCATGTGCAAACAGCAAGCAACATCTGGTGCTTGCCTGTATCTGGCGAGGCCCTGTGACCCAAGCGCAGAATTACTACACTTAGCCATGTGTCCCGTTCTATCCCTAACCCTGGCCACCCAACGTTGTCTATTGATGCGCAGTTATTGGTTAGACTGACTTCTGATATTTCTACCAATATCTGACCGTCCCGTCCTCGTGTATTCCACAGCGGAAGACCCTCGACCCCAACCGGTATGCCACCAAGAAGACGATCGCTCAGGGGATGCTGGACGTGGCGCTACTGACTGCCAACGCGTCCCAGCTGCGCTACGTCCTACAGGTCGGCGAGGAGCACGAGTTCTATACGCTGATGGTCACACTCATCAGTCTCAGCATTATACTGCAGGTGAGAACTCGGGACGTCGGAGGTGAAGAAGCTTGTCTGGAGCATTGTGCACTACTGCGTAGAGGCGTTGCTGGTTTCGGGGAAGGCTTGGACGGCGCATTGGATCCTGTGCACTGATGGGCCTGGCAGCTAGGGAAGCTACATGGTAGCGAGCGTGCATGGATGCGTGTGCCGTGTGGTTCGGGTTCGGATTCGGGTCCTGGAATCGGGTTGTCAACTCTGCATAAATTTTGTAAGATACAGTCGCGCTTGGTCCCTATTTTGGCATGCTAGCCCGCTACACCTGAATGCCTCTAGTCTCGCACGAGCACAATCTCCCCACCACACACCGTATCCGTTCTGGGCGCCTGTCCTCCATTTGCGTGTGCCCTTGGTGGTTTCACCGGTACGGTGTGCGAGCGGGCCACTCGATACGCTCCGCAGCGCCCGTCTACTTCGGCCCACTGCCGACGATAATGCTCGGAAAAGGCCTCCGGGCCAGGCGACAACCGCACATGCCGGGACAAAAAAAAAAAAACTGTGCCGCAAGGTGGACCGTGTGAATGAATACTTTTCACCAAATCAGACTTCCTTTTCACTGAATCAGACTTCTGGCTCGCTCTGCGCATTAGTTATTGTGAACGAGAGTCGAATCCAGAGCGCTGAAGTAGCACGGAGAGCGCAGGTTTGTTTTGGTGTGGTCCGTGCCGTGGAATAATCGTGCCGTGAACAATCGACCGGACGTTGTTTTTCTTTCGGCCGCCGCGGTCGTAGCGCCGAGTCGTCAGAATTGATCATTACCGCAGCCTACCTGGCGCAGGTCGCGCAGAGCTCAAGGCCTCCACAGTTATGTGGAGCGAAAGAAGGTCAAACGCATACCGCACTTCAAATTCTCGGACGTTTTCATTTCAAAATTATTCACGGGTAGTACAGCTACCTCCGGTCGATCGGAGGCGCTAGGTTTCACCTTTCAGCTCGGCGCTCGCAGTCACGCAGCGGTTTAGGCTCACGACAGCAGCGCCCTGCGACTGCGCTGCCACCTAACGGCGTGCCGTGTCCGTTGCAGGTGCTGATTGGTGTGCTGTCGTTGAGCCTGAACCTGCTGCGTGACTGTCGAATGGACCGCGAGGACTACGCGCGCTCGGCGAACGGCATCAACTACACCACGCTGGCGTTCGTGTTCGTTATCACCACCACCAATGTGCTGATCTCGGCGTTTGACGTGCGTCCGGTGGGCACCGTTCCCAAAGGGACTGTTCTGAGCGCGGCTCCGCCAGGGGTCGCTGTAAACTGAGAGCTAGGCCAGCCTGTGCTCGAGTGCCCGTGAAGTGATGTGGCGTTTCAACTCTGAATGGGTGCTTCATTTGTATTATGTAAAGTTATTCTGTCGAGAATGGCGTTATACTTACAAGTGAGTTACACCACTGGTGACATACGTGTATAACGAAATAAAGGTGTACAAATGACCTAATTTTGCGGCTAAACAGAACCCCGACTATGATGTCTGGAAGGTCAGACGATTCATAATCGGACGAATCACTAAGGAACAGACCACAGGGTGTCTCATCCAGAATATCTCGTCATCCATATCATCCTAGCACGCTTGCCTTGTCCTTAATGGCATGGCTGCATGGTACTTGGTAGTCGCGCGTCGGTGGATATCCTTGTGCATTGCTCTTAATTATTTACATGTTCACATGCACTGCATTTGGAAATAAAACAAGTCATCCCACTACTTGCTGTCGTGTTAATGGGATGATTGGGTTAGATAGCTCTTAGAACTGTAGCCTGTCTGTGTATCGCCGGGTACCTAATCCCGACTATCAACGGTCAGCCCACATTTATCCTACGAGTATAGTCGATATCAACCAATCGTTTATAAGTGTCAACACGGTATACCATTACCAAAGTGTACGACTCGGTCATCCTCTGAAGCTCCGCACTAACCGCCACCGACCGTACAGTGTCTCCAGGCCATCACCAACGTGGTGCTGAGCCGACTGGACGCTCGCGACACGACGCGCACGCGTCTGCTGGCCCGCGAGTACCTGAACCACCTGACGCTGGCGCTGGCGCTGTTCACCGTCTGTGTGGACGCCATCCGTACCGGGTTCGGGCTGGACGTGCAGCCGACCAGGCGCGTCGTGGCCGACCCGTGAGGGAGGGGCTGGCTGCCCGGGTCCGCCGGTGGTGGAGAGAGGCGCTGCTCGGGTCGTCCGGTGGTGGAGAGAGGCGCCGCCCGCGGCTTGGCGGCTGGCCAGTGCTACTGTGGGGTCCCCGCGGTACTACCAGCCGACAGGTCTCAAAAGTCAGAGGATAAGATACTTCCTGCGAGCGAGGACTGAGACAATTCGAAAGCTGCGGGAGAAGGGCGAAGTAGATGTGGTAGCGAAACTGCTATTGCAGGCAGAACATACCTAAGCGTAGAAAATGCTTCTTCTCTTAGCCATCGATGTGTAGAAAATGGAATAGCTGGATAGTGGATACAGTGATAGGTGTACTTATTGAGCAAAAATGTAGACCCCGCACAGCGTCTTGAGCGCATCTTTAGTGCCACAGGCGACTACGGACTACCTTCCACTCTGACGTAGCGCGATGTCCGCTGTATCTTACAGTAGTTATTTTTCATTGTTCAGAATCAGAAGCCCGATATCGGGTCGTAATGTAGTGTGCCGTGTGTGTATAGCGACTAGCAGTGACGTAGTTATTTACTTGACAATCGCGCGTATAATAGTTCTTCCTAACTCCTGACACTGGGTTGGTCCCCCTTTACTCGATATGCTGTGCGTGTAATTTCCTGTTTCGAGACGTGAAATATTTGGCCTAATTCTGCTTTTATGTAGCATATGAGCATTTGTATTTGGAGCACGAGGCACGGGATGTGAAGATGTGGCACACATATGGGTAGTGATACGAAAATTCGCACCCGTACAGTGTACTTTGAATAGTGATGGTATTGTGATATAAAGTTCAGAATGGCTATTGTGGTAATTGGTTAGGTAGTTTTAACGGTGTAACGCCGTTTCGATTCGAACACGTGCGAACACATTAGTTGCATTGAAATTGGCTAATCCTGTCGGATACGGAGTGGTCGTTTGATGATGTCTGCCAATTTGACACTTTTCAACGGGTTTCTCACGCCTGAATGCACCCTCTACACTCTTGCGTTCCCTCTAACTCTTGAGCACCGACCCGAACTCGCTGGGCCCTCCGACCTGACCTGACCCGAGCCCGTTCCGTGGTCTGTTTCAGATCCTGGTGGGAGTCCTTCTGATGGTGCTGGGCGCACTAGACATCAACGACGAATCCCCCACCCAAATGGCGGCAGACATCATCAACGACGTCACCGTCATCATGGTGTTTATCATCACGCTACTCAATGTCATAATCGCCTCGTTCGGCATAGAGGCGACACAGAGACTCTTTGTGACGGCCTCACCGGCGCCGGAGGCGGTCTGACCTGTGTCAGCTAAGGTCAGAGGTCACCGTGGGTCAGCTGAGGTCACTGCTGACCAGCTGAGGTCACAGAGGGTCAGCTGAGGTCACAGAGGGTCAGCTGAGGTCACTGGTATTGCGAATCGCCAGCAGGGTTGGCATTTTTGCCGGCAAAAACTAGTTTTTGCCATTTGCCGGTTTAAACCGGTTTTAACCGGCATAAAGTGGCAAAAACTGGCAAAAACTAAAACAGTCAAAACGCTATGCCTCTACATGCGTTTGAGCAGGACACGTTTTAAGTAGGATTCAGTCAATACAATATGCTTTCAAACAGAAGTGGTATCTTCACCATTTTAGTGTTAAATAGTTCCGTGAGTCCTCTATAATTAACCAATAAGGCGCCTTTTTGGTGAGACAAATGAGAAAGTGCGCCGGCGGGCGGCGAGTATTGAAGAAGTGGGAAAGGGCATCTGCCACTGACTTGTGCACCGGACCCTACGAACCGGTTCCTAACAGTGTCAGTGCCAAATTTGTGCTTAGTCGACGTAGCCGTTCTCCCAATCTGGAAGCGTCACCCCGCACGTGCGCACGTGCAAAATGGACCCCGACCGACTATGCACGACACCCTACTAATCAGTCCCTAACGGTGTCCCAATTTGAGCGCAATCGACCCAGCCATTCTCGAGGTCTGGTCGGAAACGACTCCTGGATATGCTCATGTGCAGAAGCACACCAACAGCGATGCATGAAAGTGCACTTCCTGGTGGACATCTATTGACTACCGACAGACATTTTAAGCAGCGGTAAACTAGCGAGACAATGCTTACTGGGTCCCAATGACAGACATGACTTTGTACATTTCAACCGATTGCTTTTTAGGCAAGCAACGCCTTTTTGGCCACTTGAGTTTTTGCCAGTTTCTGCCAGTTTTTGCCACCATGGTTTCTGCCAGCCGGTTTAAACCGGTTAAAACCACTGGCAAAAACCAGTTTTTGCCACCCTCTGCCAACCCTGATCGCCAGTGACCCGGGCGATGTCGTATTCTGTCACTGTGTATGCTACTGTATGCCCGAGCAGCCGTTATTGCTCCGTGTCTACTGAGCAGAATACTTCTCGATGTGTAATGGAAAGGTGATCATTGATCAGTTGTGATGATATTGAGATGACCACCGCGGTCTCGGGAGAATTACGAACACAGGATGGCGTCGTACATTTATATTTCACGTTGCACTATTGTACAAATATGCTCCATGTCTGTCAGCTGCTCTCATTCACCCTAGTTATATACACCTGTACGTGCACGTTCGTGCTCCATAACTGTTTCCGATGGGTTTGCGCCCTTACCGCTGCTCCATAGCTGTCCGTCTCACCAGTCACCGCGTGGCATGTGCTTTGTCTACTATAAATAGGGTGTAAATAGGTATGTTATGTAGACACTGACATTTGTCACATTTGTTTTCACCCGTCAATGGAATAAATGTAAGATATGTGTAGCTTGCGTGTGTTTTCCACGGTTGTTTCGGTTGTGCATTGCAAATGGAACTCGGAGGCAACTCCCTCTTGTGCACTACCTGTACAGACTAGTACCTATACCTATAGTGGTGTTAGGTATACGTCACGATGACACCGATCACTGATCAGCATGTAGGCCATTGCTTATGATCAACGAAACACTGCGTAAACGTATAAGATGTTCACTGTCGTGGTTTTTCCATAGGTAATTGGTTTTGATTGAGACCTTTTGTTCCCTCAGTTTGTCGTAAATCTTGCCACGGCATAAAATAAGCAATCTGGTTGTTATTCTGTACCGTAAATAAATAATTGTTTGTTATTTCGGACGGTAAATAAATAATTCTGCCACGCAAACTCTTTTATAAAATGACGTAATATAATATATAATTATTTTGTTCAATGCAATGACGATACAACTACACAATTTTGAAATTGAAGATATGATATTCTCTGTAGTAACCTCATTCCTCAAAACAAATAATCCTAGAATCAGTTCCTTATTTTTCTAACGTCATCAAAATAATCAAATAAATAAGAAAATAATCAGCTGTCTGCAGCCAGCTTTCATTTATCGGGGTTACATGAGCACAGTAAATACGTATTTAGCCGCTAATTCGAATTAGGAACGCATTACCGACTCATGTAGCCACCTGCTAGTACGAATCGGCGATCCGATCCGCGGTTACATGAGCAAAGCAAATACGTATCACGATCGGATTCACCGCTAATGCGAATCAGGAGCGTACTACCGACTCATGTATCCACCTGCTAATACGAATCGGCGGTCCGAACAAAATCCGCTGGGAAAGAGGCTTAGAAGCGAATAGGACCAAGATACGTATTACAGGAACTATTTCTTCGCAAAAAGAAACATTAAAATGCAAAATAATAGGTATTTTTTCATTTTCTTCTTTTGAAATAATATTTAAAAAAATATGTTGGTATTTTGTCAAGTTTTCAACAATAAATATAGTGAAAACCAAATAGTAAATATCATCATAATTTCAGTTGAAACATTTTTCTGACAGCACTACAGACGGATCAAGAGAGGCAATTGCCCAATGAGTCAAAGCAAGACAATTTTATGTTCAACTTTTTTTTGTTAAGTTAATTGAGAATGTTTTGAGCAGATTTAATGCAAAAAAGACATAAGATAATAAATTTTTAATTTAGTCACCTCTATTGCTACGGAACTGCGCCACATTTGTATGCTATTCCGTTTGTAATGCGCATCGGGCCGAGAGCCAAACTAAATCCGTTTGACGTCACTGATACGAATTTGCTCGTGTAGTCGGTGCACTGAATGCGTTCTTGGGGAGCTTATGCGAATTATCGTAGTGCGTATTTGGAACGGATCGCTTATGTAACCGAAACGTCCGAGGCACACGATTCGGGCCGTATTTCACAAGAACTATTCTTTGCTGACTGGAAGCGTCAAAATGCAAAATACTAAGCATTTTTTTTTTACTGGCTGCTTCGTAGAAAATAGCAAAAAAAAATGTTGGTATTTTGGTTTAGTCTTTGCATGTGAAATAAAATGAATGAAATATTTTGATAGATAATTTTTTCTGACCACCCTGCTGTCGCTGCATGGCGAATCAGTGCCCACTGACTTAAAACAAGAAAACTTTGTTTTCATCTTTTGATTTCATGTTAATTTTAAATGTTTTTGAGCCTATCAAATGATATAAGTATTTAAAATTTAGCTCAGTCGTCCCGGTAAATGCCGCAACTGCGCCATGACTGTACGCTAATCCTATTCCGTTTGTGATGCGAATTACCGGCCGTCGAGGAGTCAGCCCGGGTGAGCCAAACAAGATCCGTTTGACGTAGATAAAACGAATTAGTCTCATGTAACCGGTGCCGTAGATCCGTTTGTGGGGAGCTGATGCGCATTAGCGTAGTGCGTATTTGGAACGGATCGCTCATGTAACCCCGGTAAGTGACCTATATAGTAACCTAGACGGGCGACTGCCGCGCCGCAGTTGTTCCCGCATGGGGGCGCAGTGGCGCCACCTGCAAGTGGTCAGAAGTTCCCGGTCCCCGTAGACGGTCCATGTTACGTGAGTAACTTTTGAAGTCGATTTTTATGCCAGATACGGCATGCAGATGGCTGAAAGGGATTGTTATATAACTGAACATGCTTTCTTAAGGCGTGGATGTCTTCGATTGCCAACAGGATGGCTCGAACCATGTAATCAAGTGCATTATTTCAGATGACCCGGACGCTGGCAGTGCATAGCATATCGAAGCGTAGAGACTAGACAGGCTCCCTGACGTAGGTAAGGTCATGCAGTACCAACTACCAGGAACGTACTTGCTCTTTCTACTCAGGTGGCAAAAATGAAAAGATGATCATTCCAGATCGATGGTGATCTATATAAGCACTAGCAGACTATCAGGGATGGAATTGCAAGTAGACGAGAGGAAGCCGATAAGATGATCATTCCAGATCGATGGTGATCTATATAAGCAAGCACTGGCAGACTTTCAAGGATGGAATTGCAAGTAGACGAGAGGAAACCGATGATACCCAATTTTAAGGTCCTAGGTCATTGGTTGACCTTCCAGGGCAGGTCAATGACCCAAGAGTCGCGAAAATCGGGACCTGTTAGAACGTCGTTAAAGGGACTGTCCCACCTTCAAAAAATTGCTTTGATATACTGTTCTTGTGTTGCAAGACATAGATTATGGGCCCCTTTACACGAAATTGGCAAACATTCGGCCCATAGTTGGCTAATTGTTTAAAAATTCCAATTTAAAGCTTTTGGATCGATTACGTCATATGATTGTTTTTTTATCGGGCAAAGTTTTTTTCCTAGCTGCCAAATCGGTGGCACAAAGTTTTGTTACGCTTCTGCCGCGAATAGTACAAACATTGCGCATGAACTCAGGAAATTGGTAAACATCAACATGTTGGCTCTCTCTATCGTCTGGAGGTTTCGAAAGATGCTCTCCAGAGATGGCGCTAGTAAATTTGGCTGACATGACGTCATGCTTAAAAGTGATGGGTTTTGTGAGAGCAAATGTAATAATAGTTGAAAATTTTGTACTTTTGCTTAATTGAGAAAAAATTAATATACGATTGTTCAAAACAGCGTTTTCCTCATTCATCCTTCATTGTTTTAAGAGGAATATAGACAGTTAAATTCTTTTTTCTTGACCGCAATTCGCACACGCACTAAATTAAAAGCTGGAGTTTTGTGCGTTCGTAAATCGTGATTTGAGAAAATAAATTGACAATAATCTTTTGCACTTTTGCTTTACAATCAGTTTTCAATGCAGATAAATGCATAAATCATTCGAAAATAGGTATATCTTTGAAATATTATGATTTTCCACAAGCAAATTTTTCCAAAAACTTGAACTACTTACAACTGACGAACGCATCCAATAATCTGGATGTCTTAGGATGAGTTCGTCCTTTTTTCTCAAGGAAATAC